GAAACAGCAGAGAATAATTACAATTCTGCAATCCTTTTTCTTAATGTCCACAATATTTCACAAGATCTCAGAAGAGGCCTTGGATGCTAAATTCCTATTTCCTTAACAAAGGCTGGTGCAGGAACTCATTGGTGGAGCAATGATGAAAGCAAGCAGGTCGTTTCATCATTTTGACTTCCAAAACAGCAATAACAAAGCTCTGGGCTTCTGTTTCATGGCATTTTCAAATGAACAGCACTTGTTTCGCAGCCACTAAACTAGGGATTTGCTGCCTCATGCTGCTCTGGAAACTCACCAAGAGGTTGAGAACCAGTCTGGGTTTTTTCTTCCTCTCACATCTTTACCAGTAATAAATGTTTTACAGGCCAGATTTTGGAGTGCTGCTTCCTTGCAAGCACCCCACCTGTTACTCATATGCAAGCCCACTTCCTCCATAACACAAGTGGGGGATCTCTGATGTTAACAGGAACAAGCAGCAGCAAAGGTTATTTTAATTACCAGAGGTGGAGCACATTTGGATGACAGATCCGAAGTCTTCTGATCTCAGTGGAAGTCTTTTTCCACTGACCTAAGCAGGCTTTTGATCAGATCCCCAGCTAAGGAAAGTGATGTTGCTGCTGCTTAGCACTGCAGGCTGGTGGACCACTGCGTTTCTCTCTTGTCCCAGAGTTGGCTGGCTGACCAGCCTGGACAAAAACTCTGGCTCCTCGCCTACTCTGGTCATGCTGCCTTTTACATCCCCTCTCAATTTTCCCTGCTGCTGTTCCTGGTTGCCCTACACTGTTCTCGCTGACTCCCAGGAGGGGAGATGGATGTTTTACAGGGGAGCAATGAAGCCGAGTGGCTGAGACGGAAAAAGAAATCCCTGGATCTCAGAGCTGTGCAGTGCCACTGCAATGTACAGTCAAGATGAGAGCAGTGAAGGATTTATAAAAATGGAAATAGCTTTAAAGGGCCCGCCAGAACGAAATTGCTCGTGAATCATGAGGGACCAACTCTCTAAGTGTCAGGGATAGTTTCTCCACCCAGTAAGAGATCCCCATCCTCCCCAGGAAGTCTGCAGGAGACCATTTCTGTAAATTGCGATTGGAAAGCCTGCCACCTGATGTGACTCTGGAGGGCAAAAGCAGCATTACTTCAATGCAGTCCCAGCATGAAAAAGTTAATAAAATGTATGTCACTGAGAAACCAATTGTACCTGCAGGGTAAGAAAAGGTCACACATGAATGCATGAAAACTGGGCATGCTGCATAAACTGTTGATTGAAATCTCCTTTCCGCTCATATGTGAATACATTGAGCATAAACAGGATCAACACACAAAGAGAAATGATTCTGTCTATTTTTCAGATTAATAAGCTTTGCCTGGATTTTCTCTCATTTTTGTCTTCCTGCAGTACACTGGCTACTTAGATTTTAGGCAGGTCAGAGACTCTTCCCCTTTCCTCTGTATATCCAAAACACTGAGATCATTTTTTTTTTTGAAGAAGAAGAGATAAAGTAATGGAAGCTACTGGATTCCTTTCTCACCATGTGAAATCCTGGAAGAATTTGTCCTCTGAATTTCAAAACCAATGCTATTTGGTTCCAGCAGTTGGATCAGCCTGTGCTGTACATGCTCACAAGCAAAACCACAGCTCACATTGGCTTCATTAGGTGAGGTCCTATAGACCCACACCAAACACTTTATGGTCTTACAAATGACGATTCCTTAAGCACAGCCTGCCATGCCTGCTGTTATATTATCTTTATGAAGAAGAAAGATGTATATGGATGTAATGAAGAGAAAATGAACTATGTGTTAGGCCCATAAATGAAGTAGGAAATTAGTCTGTCTAGAGCAGCATGTTGGGTGCCGGTGTTCTATTATCTGACTTCCTGTAGCACTAGGATAGACAGTGTGTTTTAATTAAGGATTTATATAGATTTCATTGAAAAAAAGTTTTATGGAACCAAATTCTGTTCCTTTTGCTTATATCAAAACCGAGGGGTTTTGCAGAATTTCCTTTTAAAGGCAGTATGTGGAAAAGCTATGCTTAAAATATGCAGGCATACACTTTTCCACATTTTCAAATGATAATTCAGTCATTCTGTTGTGTCATCCTGTTTTGAAAGAATTTGTTGTCTAATTTTTTAAACAAATTTCATGTTGTGTAATATAGTAGATAACACATAGTCAGAAACACATCCATAGCACTCTGATGTACCCTTTACAGGTTTCACACATTATACTGAGCAATATAATGCAATATGAAAAGTCAGATTTGAAAGGCAATAGATCTAACTACCTTTAAAACACTCATTTCTGCAGGGAATTTAAACATCTTTTAATATAGATTCTCATTCACGAGAGTGATGTTCTTCAGCAGGTGAAAGGTTCATCTTCTTCACAGCTTAGATTCAAATCAAATGAAAAATGAAGAACAGCGGGTCAGGAAAACTGCTTAAAAAGACAAGAAACAAAGAGAACACATTTTTACCTTGACATTGACAAAGCTAAGAAGGGACAGAAAAGGTTACTGGATAGATAGTGTGCACTTGCATAAGGATATGTGTGCACACACGTACCTATGCAGTACAGAATAACCTGTGTTTGGTCTCCATATATTTTCTCCCTGACTCCACTTTGCTAGTTGATGAAGTGGCACACATGAAGACAAAGTGCTTTTCATCGAAAGCTTGCAATTGCAATAAACAGGTATACGAAAGAAGCATCGTTGCCTGGTGGAAAGCAGATTCAGAGAGATAAAGCCAATGTAGTCAGAGAAGTCTGTTTAATCCCACGAGAGCTGCATAACTAAACATATTTGTATATTTCACCCTAAACAACAGTCCTAAGGACTCACAGAAAGCCTATGTCTGAGGAACATATCTAAAACAGATTTTTTAGTATCCAAACTGGGTGTTTTACCCTTAAAAATCATTGTTTCTTCCCTGCCTATACAAGACTTTGCTGTTCGGGTGTTGTTCACTGCCTTATGTTCTGGTGTGATAACAGGTCATAACAGTATGCATGGTATTCTAAGCTGCTCTCAAATAACAAAATTATCAAAACCCAAATAATTGTCACTACGACAGCTTGCTTCAATAGCCATAACTGTAGGAACAAAAGAAATCCTCTTTCATTTCTTATTAATACTTTGAAAGTATTAGAAAAATGTCCTGACTTTCTTTATTTATCCTGATACATTAATAAAGCAGAGAATTTAAGGGAACTGAAAAGCTTTGAAGAAATGCCTTTCAATCCCAAACCAGAAAAGATTACTGTGGGTAAGCCTAAACTCTTTACAAAAAAAAAAAGTAATTTAAAATGACCGGAGAAGAGTCAATGTCCACTCTTATGGGCTGCATCATTCACAGAGCGTGAAGCAACTGCTGAATACACCAAAGTTGTTAAGGAACAGATTTTGCTCAGGGTAAGGTCTTTATCTGAAGTGGCAGAAGAGAAATGTGCAAATACCTGCAAAGCATATAAAGATAGTACAAGACCAACTGGCCCTAAAATATTCCTCCTTCTAAGGTAGGTGTCATGTTATTTGAAAGTTGGCCCACTTTCAGCTAAAAGCGAAAACCCTAATTCCTTTAACAGAAGAATTAATTAAGCTCCAAGTGTGAGGTGAGTTTTCATTAATCACTCTGAAACCACTAACTTCTCTTGAACCACCTTACTAGTATGTGAAAAGGTTGTTAGACGTTTCTTAAGTCAAAATTGCTTAAATTGGCTTCACAGCATTGACAAGACCTTCATGAAGTCTCTTTTTGCTAAAGCACACAGTTATTTCTCATTGAATTAGTGCCAAGAGTGCATGGAGCTCTGTCGAGACAAATTAAACAGGGAAAGAGGGAAGCCTTGGCCCTTTCAAAATCAATTGAAGCACTTGCCCAGGCATCTGTGTCCAGGATGGTCTTTGACCAAGAAAGCTGCAATTGAAAGTTATATTTGTCCTCTATCAAACTTATTGGAAAAAGAAAGTCTTTCCCAAGGCAATTATTTTGCTCTGAAAAGCATTATTAAATGCATAGCTGAATTTTCCCAGGATGACTGGAGACCAGATGCAAAGCTGCTTCTCGGTCATGGTATCACCCGGTTGTAATTTCTGTTTGGAAATCTTCACATGCCTGAGGAAGAAATTTTATTGTTGCAGCAGTTACATGGGTGAGCTCCTCACACTCTGTGCTCAGACCTCAGGATGCTCTGCAATCGCTTGGTCCAGGCACTTGCCCCAGCCTTGACCAGGGGCACCTCCTGTCCTTCCTGAGGAGGAAAGTGCTTTTCCAGTCATGTTCCCATGACTGTTGCAGGAAAACTTTTCCCTCAAAACCAACAGAGTTGTCTTTGCTGAGAGACTATTTCTGTTTCAAGGAGTTGAGTCAAACTGCATAGAAGGAGGATAGAAATTTACACAAAAGTATCCTGGCTGTAAGAATGATTAACTGGTGTTCAGGAGGGACAGTGCAGCTTATCTCCATTCACTGGTGATTCATGCTAATGATTTCAGCTCTGTAGGAACAGGCTATGGCAATATACAAAGGCATTTCAACCCACATCAGTGTTAATAGGGGAAGAAGGAAGAAAATTATTCTAGCTTCTAGCAAAGCCCCAATTAAAATTAGACATTAAAGTAATGCTAAGTTAGCCATTTAATCAAAATTCTGTGTACACAGTTAATATGTAAGCTTGCTTCACTCAACTGAACTTAAGAAGCAAGAAAAATCCTTAGAAAGCTTCATATTTAGTGAATTTTCATCTATTGGTGAAAATATCATAAAATTGCAAGGCAGGGGGCAGCATCTCCAAAATCCATCCCAATGCCTGACTGCTCTTTCTGAGAAGAAATGTCTCCTCATTTCCAGCCTGAACCTCCCCTGGCGCAACTTGAGGAGTCACATAAGAAACTATTCTGGAAGGCTGAGATCATCCAATCATCCAAGCTATGTATCTTGTAAGTGTAAACAAAATTCAAGGAAATTTGAATATCAAATGCATCCAGTGACTTGTTTTTTAACACCCACCTATAGCTTGAGATTCTTACGTCTTATTTTTCTTACATATAAAAATATCAATGAAAACAGAAAACTTAGAAATTATTTCAAGCACCCGTGGAGCTGAGACATTTTCCTTTTTGCAAAAACACAGTTCAAGAATATCTACATCCTATGGTACCTCAAAATTCCCTTTGAAATTCTGCTTGATGGTTGCATGTCCTGTTCAATTTGATAGCACTTTTCTTGATCAAATAATTTACAGAAATTATTAGCAAAATATTTCAAACAACAACAAAATTAGTCATAATCTATTAGAAAACAAACTGGTAAAGAGAAAATAGAAGAAAACTTAATTGAATAAATTATTCATTACAATTTATTCAGTCAGCTTTGATTTAAATGCTTGCTAATCTTTTGAAGGTTCATGTAGTACAATCTTACTGTAGCCCTGGTCATATATATGAAGTGTGATTTTTCTTCAGAAAAGCTGCATTCTTAGATTTCCCATGTAATGAAAAGCTGGGGGAAAAAATGGTTTGGAGCCATCAGAACATTTTGTTTTGCTAATCACTTTCTCCAGTAAGAAAATAATCACTTGTTTCAATAGTGTGAAACATTTCGGTACAAAATACTAATGTAACACAATAATATAATGCAGTACCACAGAAAACAGATGCATAATAAATGCAACAGATTTTCTCAAACCCAAAATTTTATCAAAACAGATAACTGTTCTGTGAAAGATTTAGACAGGCAGAGCTGCTTCCTGACCTTTCTGGGCCATGCAGAAGCTCATGTTTTCTTTCCACCTCCATACTGTATGCCAAGGAGCCACTAGCTGGCATTAATGAGCACTCACCTCCTGGAAAACACAAATTATCATTTCGAAACTTTTCAGTGTGAAGCTTTGTCATGAAATCTCTCCAGCTCCACAGGCACCCTAGAAAACGGTGTCGGTGTTGCTGGAGAGCTGTGGGAACAGTCAAACATCATGTTTCTGTAAGGGCTGCCTGACATCGTGATATGGATATCTTAGTTGTGGGTCTGTTACCATGGCACCATCTTGCAACAAAAAGACAAGGGTTAAGGTAAAAAATAAAGGAAGACGGGACTTACACAGATATAAATACGGATCAGGTATGTCAAAGCCCCCAAACTGTTATAAGGAAGAGCACAAAAACCAGTTTGCATGTCCACCTGGGATTTTAACGAGCTGTGAGGGGGCTCACTCTCTGCTTTGCTTTGTTAACAAGCTGTCCAAACTCCTGTAAAGGCTCACCTCAAGCACTCAGCTCTTAAGCACAGCATCCTTCCCCGAGGAAGCTCCTGATCTGGGGATATATGTTCCCTGTCCACATAAACTTTCCCTCAGCTGTAGTCACAGTCAGACCTCCTCCCTCTGATTTTCTGCAGTCTATAACTCGTGCAAGATGCTAGCTTTAACTCTCCTTCCAGAGGTTTATTGTCTGCCCTCACCTAAAAAAGAGCAATGCTCTTGCCTCTCCTGTCTGCCGGTGTCAAATCACCGCCTATCAAAGTGACGAAGGGCTCAACCACCTGCCTGCATGCCATGGGTTGATGGGGAGGTTAAACACTGCCTTCAACCCATGGAGGCCGTGCTCCAAACCCGTGTCCAGCCCCTCTCTCCGCTGTCACTCTTCATGTGAATTTGAGCACTCATGTGCATATTGTAAAATTAGGACCTAACAGTGTCCTAATTTGAAAGCTCGCTCATGCCATTCAGTTAATTACAATGGCTAATTTATATCTTTTATTGTCCTGCAAACTTGGAACTTTCAGTTTCAGTGAGAACGGAGTGACAGCTGATGCAAAACGCGCTCCTGCAAATAAACACAGGTTGCGGCAAACGGAGAAAGGATGTTCAACAGCAACCATCAGTCTCAGTTAGGATATTGGGGGGAAAAATTGCAGCGCATTAAGGAAGCAATAACACTCAACGGGGTGTGCATTCGTCAGTCACTATGCATGCACGGGGAGCGTGCCAAAGCACCGAGAGCAGCCAGCCGTGCAAGCTTAGGTAACAATTGCCTTGGTGCGGTGCGCCGGGCCCCACTGATGGATAACACAAACCAGCCACGAGCACAGCTCTTGCAGAGGCTGAGCACCACCACCACGGATTCACCAGGCAAGCCTGGGCAAGGCACACACCTCCTCTGGGGTCCTATTTTCCTGCAGGGTGAAACGGATTATAGTGGCTGGCTTTCCCAGGGGAGCCTGCTTGTTCTGTGCTAGCAAAGAGCGGCAGTGTTTCTGCTGGTACTTGCCATAAAATAAGGCTAATCTGTCCCTGCAGAGGATGAGAGGGGAACTCCTTGTTAGTGTGAGTGAGTCGCCACAGAGCTGCGAAGAAGGAGGAGGAGGAACACCAGAAGGGACCTTGCAAAGACCAGGAGACGGAGCAAGCCACTGATATCCACCCAAGGATCCCACTAGGGCTGATCTCCCCTGTACTTCCCCAGGATCCTGCCTCTTTTGGTCATCCCCAGAGGTTGGCTCCACAACCAGATGGCACCCACGGATGTGAGCTGCTCTGCTCCACAGCAAGGACCACCCTGCAACTACAGAAGACATCCCAAACCCTGCCAGCCCTCCCCATGGTCAAGTCCCTGCCAAACACCCTCACCCCTGACCTCAGAATTCCCATTCAAAAATATTATCACCATTGAAATAGATTCTTTCTGAGGTGTCCTCCTGTTGTATTTTCAGCTGTGCTTGTTTAAGAAGCAACAGCATTTATTAAGCGCTGTGTTTTCTCTTTTTTAAGTAACAACAACAACAAAAAAGTTCTTCCTAAAGGAAGAATAAAATTAGCAAGGCACACCTCAGGGAATTGGGCAGGCAATCCACAAACTGCCTTCAAATGTTCGGCATTATTATTTCTCACACTCATGAAGGACGTGCACATTATGCATAAAGCCGCTCGCCTCATACAGTGAAAACAAGGAAACAAACAACAACAACAAGAAATGAGCAAGTTCCTGGGCTGCTTTTCATGCATTTCCCATCCACATGTTTCATTGCTGACCGTATGTATGCACAGCACATACACAAAGAATAGCAACTGCTACATATGGTGCCTACTGCTGTTAAGAGCCTGTCACACTGCACTTCTGAGTGTTTCAAACAGGGAAGGCTCATTTGAAAAGATTTTGCAAACCACTCAGACTCTCATTTCGGAGGGAATGGATAGGAGAGGGTTACGGAGCAGCCTTAATATTTTATGCACATGAAGATAAGTTCCCTTCCTTTCCCTGTCTCCCTTCCAGTTGACATCTCAGCAGCTACTTGAGAGCATAAATTGACCAGCAATCTGCATCTGCCAAATACTCTTCTTTTTAAACTGTACTCATCATCCATCCCTCCTCCTCTCCCTCTGCACTTCAGTAATTAATTCAGTATATCCCTTGGCATAAAACACACTTCTTTTCCTTAAGCTAAAGGTAAGCAAGCATCTTGAACCAGGAGAAGAAACTCCTCCTTCTACTACCAACAGCGTAGAACAAGTAGATCTAACACACAACATTTGATATGAACTCAGACATAGGTATTGTAATTACTGGAGCACTAGGTCAAAATTTTAAAGTGCAATCTCCATGTGCACATCTATCTCACTGCTCTATTCCAGCTCCTTAAAACCTAGCTTTTCAGTCTGTTTTGACCCTGTTTTTGCCACTGCCCAATTTTCCACCTGCTCTTTTCTGAGGCTGAACACAGCCCCAGAAAGTCTTCCACCAGTTCATGACCAGGCGGAGCGACTTGTGCTACAGCCAGTTCGACACATCACAAAACAGGCATCCCAACAGAGAGAGCTGGCAGCCCCCTAGCCCCTGCAAACCCCTCTGGACATAGCACCCACACTCTAGAGCAGGCATCAGGATTGGGCCCAAAGTGCTTCTCCCGCTCTTACTTCCACATTACACTCCAGCAGATTACCCACTCTCCATCTGTGCAGAAGGAAAATGACAAACAATTGAGGCAGAGGGTGAATAGAGCAAGTCTGCTTTATTTTTAAACAGGCGTAGCTATTGCCTTTTTGTTAAAATATATAAATATATGCAAGTGGTGTGAATTAGAAGCCTCTGCAGAGTCAGCACATATTATGCAGGGAAGCTAATCTCATCATAGCTAAGCAGAAAATATCCTGTCATTATAAGCCTGATCTTGTCTCCCTGTCACTGTTTAGCTTTGCAAAAGCCAAATCAGCCTCCTTGAATTTCCACTGGCCAGGTTTGATGGAAAATGTAATTTTCTTGGAAAGCTTGAAGGCAAATGGGACAAACCATCTGGAAGAGGTGAGCATTTGGCGGTGTGGGTTTTCTGGTCATCTTTAGATGCATTAGCATGCTATTCTCCCTTCTTGTTGGACACCTAGCACCTTTCCAAAGAACGGGCAAAGAATCTGGTGCTGTGTTCTGCACAGAGATTTTGACTTGGCCCAAACTTATCAGCTTCTGCCCAGGAAAGCACAGGCACAGCTTTGTTTCTGACTGTGTTGCAGACTTCACATGTGTAAAATGCACACCTGCTGTGTGTGTTATGGACACTTTGCCCCAGTACAAACTTTAGAAACATCCCACTGAAGCAGACAGGCATGTAGCAGGGAGCCAGTGACAAGGGATGTCACTGAAAGTCCACCTAGGAGGGTGAGTTTGATCAGATGGTCCATAACTGGTCAACACTTCCACCTGGTTAGCTATTGTGACCTACTCACACTGTGTATATGGGTGGTTTGGTTTAGGCTGAATTCAAGGTGATGATTTTGATGCAGAGACAGACATTTACAGAGATGTTGGTCATATCTGGGTCAGCAGCCTCTAAAACACTCTGCAACCCAATCCATGCAGAACTTCAGAGGATGAGGCTGATGTTGTTGGAACAGGAGAGGGAAAGCGACATGAAGGGACAAAGCAGACCCAAGCAGTGATACAACTCAGTCTCCTTTCCTGAATGTACGAACCAGCACGATACCTTTATCTCCTTCGGATCTGGATACAGTTCAGGTTTCCTTTGCTGCAGTTCAGGCTCTCACTTTTTGCTTCTGCGTGCAATAAAACACAATGTTCTACTACTCTGTGAGCTTTTTAAATTACTTCACACATGGTTTTGAATGCCTGACAGATTTTTATTAAATATAAATGTTTTATATGAAATAACTATATGTTGTTGTTTCTTTGTGAATCAGTTGGCTATGAGCACAACTTAAACCCAAGGTTTGAATCATAGCTTCAATTTTGTGTAAGGATTCCTTCAAAGCCTCTGACAAAGTATTTCAGTTTACAGTCCACCAAAGGGTTAAGCTGAAGGACGAGAGAAGTAATAATTTTAATTGTGCATATTTTTCCCAGTTATTCAAGGAGCTTCTGGCTCAAATTCTCATGACAATTGCATAATGCTGAATCCATCCACTGGGATTCCCAAAGGAAAGGCTTAACCCTTTTGCTTTCTTGAAGTTTAACAATTAATTCTATTTCTCTCAGTGAGAGGAGGCAGCTTACCCAAATGGCCAGTCCTGAAGCAAACACTGACGTAGGTACTGTACTGTACGTGCTCTGTGCTTTCAATTTCCTTGCCTGGGCCGCATAGGAATAGGCAAACTGGTTCAGGTAAAATTAGAATTGACCCAAACCTTGCCACTTAAATAGGTCTTTGAGACATTAGGGCCTCTTTGCCACTGCTTTGAAGGGCAAATTCAGGGGCTTGTATTTTAGTTACTCTCCCCATGAAGTTACTATGGGAAGGGTGGAATTAGACCCCAGGTTGTTTGTTTTCCCCAGCAGTGGCTGCCTGCTAATTGCAACTGTTGAATGCATGCATATTCATTACACCATGGAGCTTGGGAAGCTGCACAGTCTGCAGCTAATGTGCTGAATCAGATAGTAAATCAGACTGATTAAGATACAACGCTCAGGCTTAAAAGACACACTAATCACCCAGCCTTGTCTTTGGAGTTGACTTTCAAATCGCACCCACAGCAGGGATGCTGCAGAGGAGAGATGGGGCTGAAGGCTGCCTCCAGCAACAGTGGGGCAGGCACGGTTATCGATATTATGAGATTTGGGGAGCATTGGCACGCATAGGTGTGCTGAGACCTGTTGCTGCTCCCCTCGCCCCTGTTCTGTGCAGCAGCAGAAGGCACGCATGAAGCCTCTCCGCTGTGTGCCAGCACGACACGGCTCCTTTTCATTTTAATAGGCTTTCCTGTGCCTGGCTCTCAGGTATGCCACGGGAATAAACAGTCTCAAGAGATGGCTGTGGAGCATACTCATTGTTTCATTGCAGAGCACCTCTGGAACAATACCTGCATTCGGGGTTAGCCATTTCATGCCTCTCCATCCTGTAGCAAAGGAGCCCTTCCTTACAAAAGTACTTCTGAATCTGCCTGGAAGCCAAGCGTGGGAGAAGAACAAGACCTCTGCAAATGTGTTCAGTGAGTTAAGTTGTTTGTTTTGTGATAAATAGCATGCTATGCTGATACCTTCAAGTGTTTGACATTCATGATTCACAATTTAAAGCCTAAAGCACGTAGTGGTGTTTATTTCATGATTTAACCTTCTGAAATGACTTTTGCTTGTGCTCCAGACTCGTTTAGTTTGACAGTTATGTGAATTCCAGCCATTGGGCTGAAATTGCCGTCCTGGTTTGCATGAGCAATACCTCCCCAACGCACAGCAACAACCTCTGAAAAAGGTGCACGCACATAGAAAATGCACACTCTTGTTTCAAAGGCTGCCAAACATTTGCAAATCCATCTCATTTCTGCCTGGGTCATTCTCAGTCTTCTCCATGCAGAAACGAGAGAGGTAGACTGAAATCTTCCAACCCTCTTCATCTCTCTGGCTTTATCACCATCACCGGTAACAAACACAATAGCAATGGACTCTGTAAAGTAGGATTAGAAGGAGTCAGAGGGACTTCCCCCTCCTGCCATAAGTTTCCTCCAACCTGACAGCTTTGCTTTACCTTCCTCTGGCTCCTCCCTCCACACAAATATCGAGCATGAGTGCACTTGCTGTGTTTGCACCAGGGACACACGCCAGCACAAATGCGGTGGCAGAGCCCAGTTCAAGGAGAGATCTTGAAAGCGCCATCACAAGCACTACCAATAATATTAATTAAACCCTAGATTAGAAGAATGTGCATTTTGAGAGGAACTCAGATCTCATTGTGTGTGTTAAGCTCTCTCTTCATCCTATTTCTGACACCAAACTGCAGTCTTAGCCATCCTAAAAACCCACAAGAATTCAGAGCTGTACCCTTGCATTTCAAGCCTGCGTCTAGAAAGTATGCTTCTGAAATACATCATCTTCCATCAAATAGTCACCACGTTCACTGCTCGTTTTCACTCAAATTACCCATAGTGTTGGGCTGGGAATACAGAGATGCATGTTTAAAAAAAAAATAAAAATAAAGCAAGTCAACTCAACACTCAGGCACATTTGCACTTATTTCACTCTGGTTCCTGAAGCAAAGGCAATGACAAATTTTTCGAACTTTTCAGACAGTGTCAGCTTAGCAATCATCTCCAAATGGAGGTTGGGCTGCACAGCAAGGAGTTCAGATACTACCCTCAAGAACGCACAGGAGGTCAAAACCTAAAGCAAGAGAAGCAGCAGACCAGGAGACTAAGGTTTCCGTCCTAGTCTTAACAACACAAATCAGAGGCAATTTTGCACCAAATCCATGATCTCTTTATCAGACACTTTTGAAGAAACTGTATTTAAAGCTGCTTTGTATGGCTTAATAGGACCATTGTGGACCGCTGTGGGTAAACACAAACACTGCTTCCACCAAAATTGGTAGCTGCATTGGCACATTGAAATAGACGAACAGATGCAATGTCAGCCATCCTAGCAGTAACATCCGAGGGGAGAAGAAATTAATTTGGTAACAGAAGTGGGGAAACATGTTTCAGCTCAGATTTGTAAGCACCAGGCACAGGATGGTATGAGGCTGAGAGGAGCCAGACATCTCACCAGCAGCAGCCAAGCTGTTAGGCAGGTCAGCGAGATGCCCACAAGCAGAGTGAAACAGTGAAGCTAGCCTGGAGCAACCCGGAGAGAGCTTTGAAAAGGAGGAAACCAACTCAGAAGCAAAACACAGTATGAGTGGGCAGGCAGTGCTATTGTGGCGAATCCCAAATTAACAGCGAACTCCACATGGGGAAGGATGAGAATGCTATGAAATAATGCTGGTCCGACCATCAAAAAGGGCAAGCAGCAGCATTCAGCTTCAGAGCAGCCAGCAGGGATGGTCAGAGAGGGCAGCAAGTAATGCCCACACTATGGAGTGGCGGCGTTGACAACAGGAAGGCAATCTGCAGCTCTGGTTTTCTGTCACCTCCCTTGTGCTATCAAACAAGCAAAAACCGGTGACCAGGGGACAACAGTGTGTGAACACGAAGGCAATTTAGAGCTTCAGTTACCTCTTGACAGCTACGTTGCTACAAATACTCTGCAGCAGCAAGGACGTGCCACTGCTGATGCCCAAGCTGCTAGCTCCACCACCCACCCCAGAGGATCGCCCTCTCTATCCACCACAAGGCACCTTCCTGCTGCCACAGTTTCAGCAACCGTTTCTTCTTTAAAAGGCATTTCTGCTGATGTTGAAGTCCTGAAAAAAAAAAAAAAAAAAGAAAGAAATAATAATAATAAAAAAAACCACAACTCTCCTCCCCAGCACTGGAAGCTGGAACTGCAATCAGAGCAGCAAGGACAGAAAGCACCACGGGAGGAGCATTTGAGAGAGACATAGGCAGACTCCTTGACAAGAGCAGAGATTAACTAGCATGCAGATATACTTTACAAGGGCCCAAATGGACACTGAGCCACCAAGAGAGACTGCAGTTAAGTGGAAATAAGCTTTGCTGAATACATGAAATGCCAAAGGATCTGCAGAGGAACTCTTAGCAGAAAGGGCCATTAATCACCGTAGCCAGCTGCATCCCATATACAGTGCTCACCTTGTGAACCTGAAAAATATTACTGTAATAAGAAAAAAGACGCCCTTCAAAAGATTCTTCAGGTGCCCTACGCAGAGACTGCAGTAACTCTTTGGGACAGATTATTTTCTGGCTGTATTTCTCAGTAGGCGGATTCCTCAGCTCCAGTTCCAAGAGCAGCTGACATAACTAACACCACTTTCATCTGTCGCAGTCACCTTCCCCTATCTTTTCCCTACAGAAAGGCTCAGACAAGTGTGGGGATGGGAAGAGGGAGGCTGAGGGGGAGGGAAATGAATTGGCTGGTCTAGATGGAGACTTCATCACCTCCCCCTTGCCCGAGGTAGAGCTGAAATTCCCAAAGACCTTTTGTGAAGGGCAAAAAAATGTGCCTTCTTTTTTCTCCAGCGCCTTTGATGTAGCTGTGATCCTAATCAAACAATGAAAAATAAAACCCCATGCATGGAAACAAGATCACCTCTGGCTTCAATCTGGCTTACGTTTCCATCCCCTGGAGTTGAGTCAGCATCGGTCGCATCAGCTGCTTAAAGAAGAAAAAGGTGAGCTGCAAACATTAGTCACAGGCGGAGGCAGCAGCAGGCAGGGACGAGTGACTCAATTCCCAGTTGTCTCTGAGAGTTCCCGTCATCGTCTCTACATCAGCACATTTTTAAGCAGGCTCAACATGACCTTGTAAATTCCCCTTTACGTCACCATGGGGACTTTGAGGACCTCCTCCTTCTTTACAATTCTGCTTTCATCTCTCTCCTTTTCTCATGCATATTGCATTTTAAAAGATGCTTGCTCTATAAAAAGCAACAAAAAGTTGCCAGTGTATGTCAAGATGCCTATAAACAGGGGACTTTTCTAAGCAAGGCTTCTCTAGCTAGGACTATTCACATTACATAGGAGGCTAACTCCTGAGGATACCGGGATGGCTGCCTGGAACACGCACTTAATTTTCTCAAAATAAATTGTCATTATTGCAAGACTGACTGCCAGGTGAAACAAGCCTGGTTCACTGGCTCAGACAGACCACAAAGGAGAGGGCTCAGCTGCTTGTGTTATGGCCTTGGGACAGTCACGTCCACAGAGATGGTTCTTTAAAAATGCCAAGGGCATTAGAAAAAGCAAGAAGCTGGAATACCTCAGCTGCCTTGCATCCAGAAGAGCCAAAGCAGCTGTGGGTCAGGGTCGCCAGCATTCATTCCTTGCAGGAAGAGGTGGAAATTGCTGACAGGTTTTATTTTTCCCCTGTGAGGTGCCTCAGGTTACAGTGAGCTTGTCTTCTTTTCAAACGCAGATCCTCAGCTGTTGTAAATTGCTCGAGGTCCTCGAGCTTTCACAGAACAACTCCAGTTTACAGCAAGTGAAAACTGAGATCAGTTTCCATGTTTTTCACAAAAGGAAAAGGAAATTGAGATGAACAGCTTGCCAAGTGGCAGACGCTTAAAAAAATGATAAAGCTTAGGTTGTCTGACTGTAAACATATTTAGCTATCTTTTTTTTATGTCTTATGTCCTACCTCCCAAACAATACATCTAGTGCTGTCCACTGTCTAAGTCCTTGAAATGTCTTCTCCTTCCTGTCAAGTCTCTTAGAGAAATTTTGCTCTAAATGTGCTCTGCAGCTGTACCAGCTCTGTAATACAGAAGACCAGATGCCGTATTACTCACACAGGTATTGACAAAGTTGCTCATACTTTCAGAACTGTTATCATCTAGTGAATGTAGACATCTGGATCTTGTTTCCTTTACTGACAGGTTACCTGACAGTTCATTAATCAGTCACTAATTTACCTCCCTCCTAAATATTTATAGTGCCCATACTTAAGGACGTGTATTATATTGTGTTGTGAGGTTGTTGGCCCTCCCATGCACCTCTTTAAAGCAGGAGTAATGTATTGGAGAGATCTACCTGTGGCTGCTGAGCTTGTGGTGGTGACTTTGGTACTAGCACCTGAAGCAAGGTAACAAATGTTTTATACATGAGAATTATTTCACGCCCTACCAGTGATCAGTTGCAATCAGCTCTATGCCGTATGCTTCCCTGAGGTGAATTCTCCCCGGTGACTTAATAGCCAAGATGATTGCTTCAAGCAATTAAAATCTCCAGGATCCATTCCAAACTCATTTTGTTGCCAAGTTAACAATATGGTAGTGAAAGCAATTTAGAGGTAATGAATGTTCTCTTACCATTTTTCTGCAACTCTGGTTTTGTAGCAGTCTGAGGACACATCATCCCAGTCAGTAACCAAACTAGGCCCACTGACGAAAGTCATGGGTTCTGAAATGTTTTCCTACACCTTTGAAGTCAAGATGATGCACAAATAAAAAACACAGATTTCCTCACAGGAATTCAAAAGAAACTTTCAAAGTGGGGTGCAGTATGACTGTTTCAGTTGAAATCTGGAGATTTGAGAGGGGGCTCAACAAAAACTGGGGAAAGTTTCAGTCCTTCCATCTTGTTTTGAAATAAGACATTTTTGGGAAGAGTTTAAAAGCAAAATTTCAAGTAGGTCTACATTTAATCGCTTGAAAAAGTTGTTTTGTCAGGTATGGTAATACGGAGACCTTCAATCTGATTATGAAGGCAAGAATTAGAGGTATTCAGACTTGCAAATTTTCAGTTAAATTTCATATCACATGGACAAAAGGAGGACATTAATTCTCTACAAAAATATTATGCCACTTTCAACCAGCTGTGGAAGAGGCTGGATAATTCCCAAACTCTTACAAAAATGTTATAAAAGTATCATATTTAATAAGGGAAAAGATTCACTATTCTGTAACTCTGAACTTCCAAAGCTTTGTTGAGAAAAACAGTGTGCCCTGAAAGGCCAAATACACAACTTTGTCAAATCAGTGAAATAAAAAATTCTCTGAAATAGGTCTGCCACATCTATAAGTTAATTACATCTTTAACACCACCATGGCCTCCAGCCCTCATCCTTTTCCATCCATCTCACCTTCATCAGGTTTTGAAGGTGGTAAACATCTAGCTGGTCTGATTTAAGCTCAGTACTGTGGCATAGTATTTCCAGAAAAATAATGACACAAGCAGGCAGCTATGCTCACTTTCGGAAAGCACAGTGCTATTTATTTCAGGGCAATAGTAATACAAAGCAGACATGGGACACATATAAATACAGACACAAGTTCACTTGCTTCTCCCTGTATTTAGCCTCCACTCTCAGTTCCATTTACTTTTTAAACTACTATGTTGCTTTGTTCTTCAGGCTGTTTGAACCAGAGAAAACAAGCACATATATCTTCCACCACTGGGACAAGATATTTGGACCATGTTACAGGAAGACAGGGAATATTGTATTAATTGCCCTCCTGGTCTCCCCTTATAGTCATTAAAAAAAAAAAAAAAAAAAAAAAAAAAAAAAAAACACAAGCTATTACACTTGTATAATTGAGATGAGTCTTTACTGAATGTTTCATGCACTGATCTAGCACACCACAGTGTAATAGTCTTTGACATCATCTTGCTTCTGTGGCTTTATGAAGGCTAGATTCATACTAATTTGCAATTAAAGGAAGTCCAACTTGATGCCAAATGTACACTTTTGAATACCAGTCATGTCAGTTCTACAGCTGTTCCAATAAAGTTAAATATCCCTAATAATAGAAAAAGTGCTTTAAAAATATTCTAATGGCAAAATGTCTTCACTGTAGGTTTGGGACTAGTTAGACTATAAATGAGTTAATTAGTAAAAATCCTTGTAACAGAGAAGTGAAGCTGTGCAGTCAATCGCTTAGATAATGCATGTGAAACAAAACATAAAGAGTGTTGACACTGACAGGTCGTGTGCTCCTGGGTGGGAACCAGTGCTAAGGAAATACCTGCATTTTCACAAGCCCAGCCAGCCCTCCACTTTTCCAGAGAACAGGGAGAAAAACTTTGCAAAGGAGTGTCTATGACAGAGGAATAATTCACATCTGCTGAATGCATGAACAAATGCTGTGTCCAAAAGCAAATATAAATGCAAATGGATATTGTATTGAGTGGAAAAAGAGAGCCAAAGCCTTCTGCCAGTCAGCAACTATCCCTGCTTGTAGCAGGGTCTGGCAGCAGTCTAGTGCCACGCAACTTGCAGTATTGCACTCACAAAAACAAGCCCTGCAGCACTTCTGAAGCAGAGCCCAGCACGAGGCTAAAGGCATCGGGAGTCCTAAGCAGGCAGGGCACGCCTCTGGAGGAAGAGGTGGCATTGCTGTCACTGCTCTAACCTTCTAAAAATAAATCATTATTTTCTGCTATGCAATGTCCATCTGAGATACCCATATTTCATGGAGCCTGAAGCACTTAAAGATAGCTTTTCAGAGCAGAGATGCTCAATAACTTTCTGCAGATGTCTGTGTTAATAATCATTACACGGTTTTGAATATCTCAGGCTAGACACGTATCTTTCAGACTAAAAAGTAAAGTGTTGAGAAATTTTTATGTATTATTATGATGCCATCCACCTTAAAGTCTTCAGCTGAAGGACCTGGATGAAGGGCACTGTTACCCTCAGTAAAACGGACAGAAACAAGCCTCTGAGTAATTCAGCCCCCTAGAGAGCTAAATGTCTTATGCCAGTGTTCCATAACAGTGTTACATAAACACCAGCCAAAATCTCACTTGGGACACCTTATATGTAAGAGGCCATGTTTATTGGGTTTACGTGGCAAGAGTTTGGTAGCAGAGGGGGCTGCAGGGGTGGACTCCGTGAGCAGAGCCCGGCAGCTGCCCCATGTCAGATCAGAGCCAGCTCCAGCCGGCTCCAAAGGGACCTACTGCTGGCCAGAGCTGAGACAGGGAGCGACTATGTTGGGCCTCTGGGAGAGCATACTGAAGAAAGGGAAAAAAACCTGCTGCACTACAGCTGCTGGGGCAGCTGTGGATGAGCCCCCGGTGGAGCAGCCCCCGGTGGAGCAGGCTGTCCCCCTGCAGCCCATGGGTCCCCCACGGAGCAGATCTCCACGCTGCAGCCCCCCCGTGGGTGGAGGAGCCCCCGGTGGAGCAGGTGGATGTAGCCTGGAGGAGGCTGCGGCCCATGGAGAGCCCCCGCCGGGCAGGAGCAGGCCCCGGGCCGCAGCTGCAGCCCCCCCGTGGAGAGGAGCCCCCGCAGGAGCAGGGGGTCTGGGGGGAGCTGCCGCCCAGCCGTGGGGGACCCATGCTGGAGCAGTTTGCTCCTGGGGGATGGATGGATGGATGGATGGATGGAGCCCGTGGGACGGAGCCGTGTGGGAGCAGTGCTTGAGGAGCTGCTGCCTGTGGGCAGCCCGTGTGGGATCAGCTGGGGAAGGACGGCATCCCGTGGGAGGGACCCCACGGGGAGCAGGGGCAGGGAGGGAGCGAGCAGGAGCGGCGGGGACAAAGCATCAGGGACTGACCGCAGCCCTCAGTCCCCTGTTTCCCTGCGCTGCTCAGGAGGAGGAGGTGGAAGAGGGCAGATGGGGAGAAGACGCTTTGGGTTTCTTTCCTTTGTTTCTCACGTGTCTAGTTTGTTGGTAGTAGGCAATAACTCTTACTATCTCCCTATGCTGAGTCTGCTTTGCTCGTCACAACAATCATTGAGCGATCTCCCTGTCCTTATCTCAGCCCTTGAGCCCTTTGCATCGTATTTTCTCCCCCTTTCTTTTTCAGGAGGGGGAGTGAGAGAGCGGCCGTGGTGGAACTCGGCTGCCCACCCGATTCAGACCACCGCAGTTGCAAAGGACTGGAAAAGTTTTCCGAAGAAACAAGATGTTTAACAAGGAGATGCATAGTTTCCTTATTACGGCTTCCTGGATAATTGGGGTTCTTTCCTATTGCCAGCTCGGAGGAAGAGAATTGTTGATTTCCCCTTCTTTTTTCTTACATGGAAATCAAAGGTGAACTGCTCTCCAAGTACGGGCAACGTATCAGAATTAAGCTCTTTTTGTCTGTAATCCTTTCTCAAGGAACAGATTGATCACACACCTTCCACAGATGTAGGGGAGCAGAGAATAATTTGGGAACTACTCTAATTCAAGTCAGTTTGGGCATAGTGGTACTTCTCTAGCTGTTTCTGAGACAGACGCGTTAGCAACAGAGAGTGTTGTGCCGTCACTGGGAGGCACCTGCGGTGATGACTTCAGAAAGAGACCTGAATGATGTCACCACAGCACTTTGGGAACAGCTGCCTCTGGGCACGTTTAGCTGGGAGGCACAGAGAAGGGTGCTGGGTGTGATGAAACCACGTGAGGATTTGTGCATGTCAGCTTGAGGTGCACAGAGAGGGCCCATGCCCTTCTGTAAGTGTTTTGATGCTTGGCTGAAGAAACCAATGTGGTTTTGTTGTGAATGCTTCATTTTAGTATTCTGTAGTTTGTGTCAAGTCCTTACAGAAGCATCAAGTTTGGTACTTTGCTCAATGATGGAGCTGCACAGAGTGAGAACAGACCCAATGTACGGGTGAGGGCCTCTGCACGTTCTCTTCTTCCTACAGACGATCAACAAATAAGGGTAGACAGAGAAGAGTCTGCTGTGGTCCTCCCATAGACCGCAAGTACTAAAGCATAAACAAGAGGCTTAAGAGTCCCCCTGTCATGTTAAAATTCAGGACAGCAATGGACTTCATCACATGGGCTGGCCTGTCATGTAGTGTCTCAGGCTGTGGTATATGAAGATGCACTCCATCTGCTTTCAGGGTAGCAATTGCAGTGGGCAAGCTGCCTGACCTTAACATTTTTCATTTCATTTTTCACCAGAGTTTTGCTGGTTTCCCATGATTCACTCTTGGTCTAGAAAAAAAAATAATAAAAAAAAAAAAGGGGGGGGGGGGGGGATTCGGATCAAAATAAAAGGATTTCCTTTCTATTAATTCCATGTTCTTAACTTGACAGATTTGATTATCGACTTAGAAAGCAAATATCTGGCCAGACTTCAAGACTTATGCTCGCAGCGTGGGACAGCTCTCGTAAGGGTGATTCAGGGTAGCTTCTGGAGAACAAGACGTCAGATCTCCAAACCAGCTTTCTTTGTGCTAATGTAGGAAGGGCGAGTAAGAGTAAAGGTAAGAGTCCAGATACCGTAAGAAGCGGAAAGTGTGAAGGAAACTTCCTTCTGGCTGATCCAGATCCATATCTAGTTGTCAAGTATGAAGAGAGCAGTTCTAAGTTTCTTGGGGAGAGGAAAACAAAGAGACTGGGAGATTGTACAAAGACAAAAATGGGATTAGCTATTTCAGGAAATCATAGTAACTGGAAACAGAGATTGGAAGAGTGCTTTAAGCCAAGACAGAAACTTTTTCAAACTAAAACCTAGGAGTTGGATGAACCAAGAAATGAATCCATTTTGATTATGCAGTTGTGTCCAGTGTTATCTTGGGAAACATGGTTTCCGCGTAAAATGTATGTGGGGCTTGAAGTTTTCCTAACGCCCTTCTCTGTGTATTCCCTACTGTTTGGTAAGCGCTGAGGTCACACTGCAGACAGTGTGACCTCTCCCCACCACTTCGCTGTCTGTTTGCACAACACGCCTAGCAACAGAATGGCTTGGACTCAACTGCGCCTAGGAGCGAGTTCATTCAAGCTGGTGGACAAGGTAAAAGCTCTGGACAAGCGAAGGGCAGGGAGGGATGGATGGACACACAAGATGATCACTTTAATCTCATTTCTCTAAGAATCCTTCCTGAGAAAACAAAACAGCACAGAACAAATGAAACAAGCAGCTAGCTTGCTGGAGACATTGTCTGGGAGACAGTGAAAACACTTGCAGACAAAAACATACCGAAGGACTAACTCTTTGAGCTTAATTCTACTCAAACAGCATAACCTCAAAGTCCTGTTTCTGTTCATAACATGGCTGGTACAGTAACATGGCGCATTCGATGACTTTGCAGCATAGATGTCAGGACTGCAGCTTGGGATCACCTCCTTCTACTGAGAGTTCAGTTTGAAGGGATGAGCAAGTAATTTTTCCTGGGTTGGCGGAAATCTGTTTCAAGTCTGTTTTCTAACACTCTTACAGACACTTCTCTGTCCATCGGCCTGTCCTGCCGACTCTGGTGTGAGTGTGAAGCTGTGGCAAGAGGGGTTTCCCATTCCTATTTGACCTGGTGGACACCAGCTTTCCTAGGAAATTGCTGATGTTGCTGAGGAGGCGGCAGTATCAAAGGCCTTGTTGATGAAGGTACAACAAGCTGGGGAGGCTTTGGCATTTCTGCACAGTGCTGCTCCCTGACTGTCACTCCAGACTCAGATTCTGAAAGAAGCAAAGCAAGCTAGAGGAAAACTGGATGTCCAGGTAATTTTATTTCTTTTTATTTTTTCATTCTTCGCTTGTAAGAAAATCTAAGTCTTTAAAGCATTTGTTTGAAAACAGCTTTATGGAAATGCTTCTGGGTGTGCTCCTTCACCTTGTTTGGAACCTGCTTCACCTCGCTTCAGCTAGGGGACACCTATGCTCAAATTTATGCTTCCCATGATAAAGCGGCATTCTTTCGCTATTCTTTTCTGTGATGGTTGCAGGTGAGGTTGAAAAGAGTTGTCAGTACGATTCTTCGTTTCCTTTGCAGTATCCAAAACTCCGTGTTACAGCGGATCTTCTCCTCTGATCTGAAAAGCTTCACAGGCCAAAAGAGAATTGAGAGGAAGAAGGAAATAGAGAATGCTGACCAGTATTTCCAATTACCACCCGTAAGTTTTGCGAAAGAATCCGGTGCATTTCTGTAGTGGTAGAAAGTTAATAAAATCATGATCGTGCACTTGAAGGCAAGCAATGCTCTAAAAACAAAGAATGCAAGGCCCTGCTTAAGGACAGTCTTCAGGCTGCTTCTCGATCAACAGCTTATTTGGTTCTCCCACACCCTCATCTCCGCTTGCTCAGAAGTTGTGAAGGTCGGAAGCACACTCCGTCTTTTTCATCCCCTCTGTGTATCTTTTCCCTGACAGCAACTTCTGTCTTGGCCCTTCACATCCAGCCAGAGCAGTTTCTTTGCCTCCGCAACCTGCAGGCTGTCCTCTCGTGTGTACCTGTGGTGGACTGAGGGTAATGCTTGTAACACTCACAGATGCTGTATTCACTAGCACTTTGAGAAAAGAGAGCAAGAAGCTAACCTGCGCAGCAGTTTCTTAGGTTTCTGTATATCTCTCTCTCTCTCTCTCTCTCTCTCTCTCTCTCTCTCTCTCTGCGCATATATTTCATTACTTATTTACTTATTTAAAGATCCTTTAAATACAGTAGATCCTTTAAGAAAGCTTACTTGTCCTTCTCCTTTACTTGTTTTTAACGTTTACTTTTCTAACCAAGCCTTAATGTTACAACATTGGATTGATGTAGTTCTCAGTTCTTAGAAGTTCTCAAAGCACATCAGTGATTTCTATATTTCTCAATCTTCCCATCTGCATTGAGACCTCTTATCTGAATTTAGGTATTAGGTGAAGAAGAACACCGCAACCAGCTGAAGCCGTATCAGCAGAGATGCTTCTATGCTAGGAAGTAATTCAGAGTGCTTCCATGGCGTACTTTAGACAGATTTCCTCTGGTCCTCTGGACTCAGCATCGCCAAGGGATATTTCAAAGCTCTCTGAAGGACCCGTCATTATCTCTGACACTGCAGTCTCCATTAGGAAGGGGTAAATATTCCTTGCCCTTGTGCAAAGGAACTACTCAGTTAGCTGTTTCTAACCCAAATCTCTTTGTTGTCTTCTATTGACAGACACCACCCGGCTAGCCAAGCTAACCCATTGAAAATGGAAGGAGTGGGACATCTTCCAAAGCCTGCTGCTGCTTCTAAGCAGAACTGCGCTGTAGGTGGGGACACAGCAAGAGGACACGTCCAGGCCACGCTGGAACTGCAAGGCACCTGTCTGAGCCACACAACGAAGTCAGCGATTGCCAGTTGGAGACTGTTCCTCGACCAGTGACACAGCAGCTGGAGCGCTTCTGGTTGCTGCTGATGGGTTCCCACGAATCAGCCAGGGATAGGAGCTATGAGAACGACTGAAGTGATCTGAAGATACCTGAAAGAAAGAAAAGAGGAGGGAAGAAGACAAGAGGGGAGGGAAGGGGAGGGAATAAAAGGAAGGGAGGGGAGGGAAGGGGAAGGAAGGGGAAGGAAGGGGAAGGGAGGGAAGGGGAGGGCAGGGCAGGGCAGGGGAAGATAGTGTAGGGGAGGTTAGGGGAGGGTAGGATAGGGTAGTGTAGCATAGCATAGCATAGCATAGCATAGCATAGCGTAGGGTAGCATAGCGTAGTGTAGCGCAGTGTAGCGTGGTAGAGGGGAGGGGAGCATAGGAGAGTATAGGGTAGTGTAGGGTAGTGTAGCGAAGGGTAGTGTAGGGGAGTGGAGGGGAGGATAGGGGAGGGGAGCATACGGTAATGTAGGGTAGTGTAGGGTAGTGTAGCGAAGGGGAGTGTAGGGTAGGATAGGGGAGGGGAGTGTAGGGGTGTGTAGGGGAGGGCAGGGGAGGGGAGTGTAGCAGAGTGTAGGGACAGGGAGCATAGGGGAGGGGAGGGAAAGCAAAAGAGGGGAGGGGAGGGGAGGGGAGGGGAGGGGAGGAGAGGGCATGGCAGGGCAGGGCAGGGCAGGGGAGCATAGGGTAATGTAGGGTAGTGTAGGGTAGTGTAGCGAAGGGGAGTGTAGGGTAGGATAGGGGAGGGGAGTGTAGGGGTGTGTAGGGGAGGGCAGGGGAGGGGAGTGTAGCAGAGTGTAGGGACAGGGAGCATAGGGGAGGGGATGGAAAGCAAAAGAGGGGAGGTTAGGGGAGGGTAGGATAGGGTAGTGTAGCATAGCATAGCATAGCGTAGGGTAGCATAGCGTAGTGTAGCGTGGTAGAGGGGAGGGGAGCATAGGAGAGTACAGGGTAGTGTAGGGGAGGGGAGGAGAAGCAAAAGAGGGGAGGGGAGGGGAAGCAAAAGAGGGGAGGGGAGGGGAGGGTAGGATAGGGTAGTGTAGCATAGCATAGCATAGCGTAGGGTAGCATAGCGTAGTGTAGCGTGGTAGAGGGGAGGGGAGCATAGGAGAGTATAGGGTAGTGTAGGGGAGGGGAGGGGAGGGGAGGGGAGGATAGGGTAGTGTAGCATAGCATAGCATAGCGTAGGGTAGCATAGCGTAGTGTAGCGTGGTAGAGGGGAGGGGAGCATAGGAGAGTATAGGGTAGGGTAGGGTAGGGTAGGGTAGGGTAGGGTAGGGTAGGGTAGGGTAGGGTAGGGGAGGGAAAGCAAAAGAGGGGAGGGGAGGGGAGGGGAGGGGAGGGGAGGGGAGGGGAGGGGAGGGGAGGGGAGGGGAGGGGAGGGGAGGGGAGGGGAGGGGAAGCAAAAGAGGGGAGGGGAGGGGAAGCAAAAGAGGGGAGGGGAGGGGAGGGGAAGCAAAAGAGGGGAGGGGAGGGGAGGGGAAGCAAAAGAGGGGAGGGGAGGGGAAGCAAAAGAGGGGAGGGGAGGGGAGGAAAAGCAAAAGAGGGGAGGGGAAGGGAGGGGAGGGGAGGGGAAGGGAAGGGAGGGGAGGGGAGGGGAGTGCTGCCATAAATAAAATTGCCAAATACATGACATTTTGGATCTGGAGCCAAATATTTGTGTTGCTGAAGGGATGCAAGACACAGACTCCTGATGGCTCTGGAACAGGAGGCGTTTATTGCCCTTTTTCACTCCTACATGTCCTCTCCCCGTAGCCCCACGTGCTGTCCACGCGCCCAAATCTATCATACAGTTGGTCAGAGACCCTCAGACACGCGCCTGGAGCCAGCCAGCAATTGCCCACTGCCCAAAGGTCCTCTTTAACACTTCAATTCTTCATCTCAGCCTGGCTCAAGTTTTTGTTTCTACCGCGTGTTTACTCGTTACCTCTAATTCAGGGACCTGCGAAACAGCGCGAAGCCACCTGCAAATTCCCTCCCCACACGTTGCCCTTCATTCCACAACCTGATTTATCGCTGCCATCCGCGCATTGCACAGTGCCATGAAAGGTTGGGCGTGCACAGAGGTGGCTGAGGATTTTCAGAAAGAACTTTCCTTAAGAACTGCATCAAGACTTTTGCTGGAAGGCAAAAGATCGGCTGACTGATTAACGTAGGGATGGCAACTGAGCAAGGGAAGCATCTTCCAAACTTCCAAATATTTCCTGGATGCAGAACTACAACTCCTCTGCTCTCCGCTTAGGAGTTTCCGTCACCTGCTTGGGAAGCAGAAGCAGTAACATGGGATTTAGAGGATCCAGTGCCAGTTAGAGGAAACCATCAATTTACGGGGTTTGAAGAGAGTTGGACCAGTGTTCCAAGGAACATGTACTAGTGCTGCATATATATGTCTGTAAATATCTCTACACCTGGCTTGTATCAGACCTAGAGTGGCCCTCAGCACTAGGGAAGCGGTTGTCCCTCTGTGCTCGGCTCTGGTGAGGCCGCACCTCGAGCACTGTGTTCAGCGAAGACCTCGAGGTGCTGGAGCGTGTGCGGAGAAGGGCTCTGAAGCTTGTGAAGGGTTTAGAGAACAAGTCTGGTGAGGAGCGGCTGAGGGAGCTGGGCTTGTTCAGCCTGGAGAAAAGGAGGCTCAGGGGAGACCTTCCTGTGCTCTACAGGAAGCTGAAAGGAGGCTCCAGAGAGGTGGGGATCGTTCTCTTCTCCCAGGCCCCAGGTGACAAGACAAGAACAAAACCCCTTAGGTTGTACCAGGGGAGGTTTCGGTTGGTTCTTACGAAAAATTTCTTCACCGAAAGAGTTGCTCTGGTGGGTGTACGTGGCAAGGTTTTGGTAGCAGGGGGCCATAGGGGTGGCTTCCGTGAGAAGAATCTAGAAGCTGCCCCACGTTAGATAACGGCTCCACTGCTGGCCAGAGCCAAGCCAAGAAACGATGTCGCTTGTTCCTCTGTGAGAGCATATTGAAGAAAGGAGAACAAAAATAACAAAAAAAAGCTGCTTCCCAGGGAGAAAGAGAGGAGAAGCAGCCCTGCAGCCCCCCAGGGGAGTGCAGCAGGAGGGCAGGAGGTGCAGCAAGCAGGCAGCAGCAGTTCCCCTGCGGGCTGTGCCCCCGGTGGAGCAGGCTGTCCCCCTGCAGCCCATGGGTCCCTCACGGAGCAGATCTCCACGCTGCAGCCCCCCCGTGGGTGGAGGAGCCCCCAGTGGAGCAGGTGGATGTAGCCTGGAGGAGGCTGCGGCCCATGGAGAGCCCCCGCAGGGCAGGAGCAGGCCCCGGGCCGCAGCTGCAGCCCCCCCGTGGAGAGGAGCCCCCGCAGGAGCAGGGGGTCTGGGGGGAGCTGCCGCCCAGCCGTGGGGGACCCGTGCTGGAGCAGTTTGCTCCTGGGGGATGGATGGATGGATGGATGGATGGAGCCCGTGGGACGGAGCCGTGTGGGAGCAGTGCTTGAGGAGCTGCTGCCTGTGGGCAGCCCGTGTGGGATCAGCTGGGGAAGGACGGCATCCCGTGGGAGAGACCCCACGGGGAGCAGGGGCAGGGAGGGAGCGAGCAGGAGCGGCGGGGACAAAGCATCAGGGACTGACCGCAGCCCTCAGTCCCCTGTTTCCCTGCGCTGCTCAGGAGGAGGAGGTGGAAGAGGGCAGATGGGGAGAAGACGCTTTGGGTTTCTTTCCTTTGTTTCTCACGTGTCT